CACACACACACACACACACTCTCTCTCTCTCTCTCTCTCTCTCTCTCTCTCTCTCTCTCACACACACACACACACACACACACACACACACACACACACGCGCGCGCGCGCTTGAAGCGGCGCTTGTACAACAAAGAATGTTGAGATCTTGAAGTGCAGGCGCTGCAACAGGTTACGTCCAAGTTGACGTGAGAAGAGCATGCACCTGCGGATTATTACAGCCAGGTTCATGCTTTCCAAGCATGACAATGACACCAGTGGGGCCTGACTCTGAGGGCCAGGTGTCACGCAGGCCATGTCTATGTTCATACGCGGAGAGTGTGAACCTGGCCCAGTCAGCTGGCCAAATTCAAGCCTTTGTAGCGTGAATACAGCACCAGTAGCGCCTGTCCCTAAGGGGCAGGCGCAGCGCAGGCTATGTTTATGTCAAAGTTGCGGTTCTGGTTGAAAAACAAAAGGAAAAAGCTTTCAAAAACAAAAAAAAAGGAAAAAAAAAAAGGGAAAAAGCCTCAAAAAGGACAATAAAAGGTTTATGGTCGATATCTGATGGCTGTGATCGGGGGAGCGATGTTTATGATCTGATTGTGGCCATTGAATTTTGGGTGTCCTTACAAACACCTAGACATAGTGCAGTGGGTCATGTCCCTGATGTGCTTGGAAAGCAGGGATCTGGTCGGATAAACATCCAGGTTCATTCTCTCACCGCATGAATGCAGCAACCGTGGGACCTGCCCCTTAGATAAGCTTAAGCAAGCATTCCATTGTGTAGTCTAGGATGATGTATGGACGAGTACCTCTGTGATACATTGGCACAACCAGGATGGTGGTTTACGGGCCTCGCCACACCACTAAGGACGAAAAAAAATTGAGTGCATCTTTCAGAAGAAGGTGGCCAAATACATCAGTTACTATTCATAGTAATGGATGGAATTTTCCACCTTTTTTGGGAAAGTGCACTCACATTTTTCTTGTTTCGTGAGTGGTGTCGCGAGTCTCTAAGTGCTATCTAGATCCTTTGGACGAGTATCAACACTGATACATTGGTCCCACTCCTTCCACCTTTCTCATTTTGCAAATTCACACACACCAGAAAATTCAGAGTATTGCTGCCCATGCTGCATTGGTTGGTTTGGTTGGTTTGGTTGGGTTGGTTGGTTGGTTTGGTTGGTTGGTTTGGTTGGTTTGGTTGGGTTGGTGGGTTTGGTGGGTTGGTGGGTTGGTGGTTTGGTTGGTTTGGTTGGTTTGGTGGGTTGGGTTGGGTTGGGTTGGGTTGGGTTGGGTTGGGTTGGGTTGGGTTGGGTTGGGTTTGGGTTAATTTGGGTGGGTTTGGTTGATTTTGGTTTGGTTGGGTTTGTTTGTTTGGTTGGTTGGTTTGGTTGGTTTGGTTTGGTTGGTTCGGTTGGTTTGGTTGGTTTGGTGGGTTTGGTTGGTTTGGTGGGTTTGGTGGGTTTGGTGGTTTGGTCTGGTTTGGTTGGGTTGGGTTGGGTTTGGGTTAATTTGGATGGTTTTGGTTGATTTTGGTTTGGTTGGGCTTGTTAGTTGGTTGGTTGGTTGGTTGGTTGGTTGGTTGGTTGGTTGGTTTGGTTGGTTTGGGTTGGGTTGGGTTGCTTGTTTGTTTCTTTGTTTGCTTGTTTGTTTGCTTGTTTGTTTGCTTGTTTGTTTCCTTGTTTGTTTGCTTGTTTGTTTGCTTGTTTGTTTGCTTGTTTGTTTGCTTGTTTGATTTGGTCGCTTGCTTGTTTGTTTGTTTGTTTGTTTGTTTGTTTGTTTGTTTGTTTGTTTGTTTGTTTGCTTGTTTGATTTGGTCGCTCACTTGCTTGCTTGTTTGTTTGTTTGTTTGTTTGTTTGTTTGTTTGTTTGTTTGTTTGTTTGTTTGTTTGTTTGTTTGATTGGTTTATTTGATTTGTTTGTTTGTTTGTTTGTTTGGTTGGTTGGTTGGTTGGTTCTTTTATAATGTCAAAGGGTTTAAACTTTAAACTTGATAGTTTTATTACTGTCTGCAGGTAAGTAAGCATTGTTGGAAAACAAAACAACGAAAAGAAAAACAAAGGATTGTCGTTGAGGGGGGGGGGGAGCAGGCAGTGGGTGCGGCAGACCTCGAGTCGGCGATCACATTCCTCCCACAGCTGCTCCTTGAGGTCTCTGACTTTGGTTCGAAGTTGAATCTTCACTTTGTCCGTATGTCGCCCTTCATGCGGCACTTGGTTAAACTCTGTCTGAGGAGCATGTATCATGGCAGAAAGACAGACATCATTTTTTCAAGTTAGGAAAGATGTAGCGAAAAAAAAAAAAAAAAGCATTACCTGAGGCTGGGGAGGAGTTCCTTCGGCATCTTTCCTTTGGTCGTTCCAGTCCTCCCTTCAATGGAGCAGCCAATGCTTGTCGGCAGGGGTCCTTCAGCCAGACGGAAGGACGACGATATGCCTGGGGAGAGAAGGGGCGCAAGTTCACCCAACTGATGCTCGCCCAGATGGAAAAAGGAGGCAGAACGATAAGGACATGTTTGAGATAAACCAGCACTACCTTTCGGGCTGTGACGCTAAGTGTCAAAAGTAGCCTTCTGATGCTCACCCGGATGGAAAAAGGAGCCAGATTCTGCCGGAATGATAAGGAGTATTAAGGACCTGTTTGAAATAAACCACCACAGTGACTACCTTTTCAGGCTGTGATGCTAAGTCTCAAAAGAAGCCTGCTCCGCATTCTTCGGAGGCCGGCGGACGCTGGGCGCTACCGGGCCACAAAGGCTGGCGGCGCCAGGCAAAAGGAAAGAAAATGCTGCGCTGGGGCTTCGGCACCCCATTGGTGCGCAGTGAAATTAAAGGATCGTCAAAAAGAGGATCGGAGGTGAAAAAAAAAAAAACAAACACCTTTAACAGGCATCGTTTCCAAATTAGGAAATGAAACAAGCAATCCTTTGCGTCAGATATTGCCAAGCTGCCAGAGGATATCACAGTCTCTACGACAGACAGACATCATTTCCAAATTAGGAAAGATTGGAAGCACTGCATTTGCATCAGATATCGCCGGACTGTCAGCGGGTGTCCCAGTCTCTGTGACAGACAGACAGGCAGACACACTTTCCAAATTAGGAAAGATGAAAGCTTCTGCATTTGCTTCAGATATATGCAGGAGCTGTGAGTGAATCACCCAGTTTGTGACGCAGACATTTCACAAATTCCGAAAGATGCGCCGGTGAAACGCCGACGAAACAGTTTGTCACAGCCCCTCGTTTGTTGTCCTCTTCTCCCTCTCTGCCAACTTTTTACTGGGCAGCTCTGTTTGACGATATATATTTCGCACCTTGGGCCTACTGGACCACATTTTGCTCCACACTGCATTTGCATCGGATATCGCCAGGCGGTCAGCGAATACATATATAGTCAAACAGAGCTGCCCGGTACACCGTAGGTATATATATATATATCGTCACAAACAGAACTGCCCGGTAAAACCGTAGGCCGAGAGAGAGAAGAGGACAACAAACGAGGGGCTGTGACAAACTGTTTCGTCGGAGTTTCACCGACTCATCAGGAGGCTATATATATATTGTCACATCACTACAAACTAAAAGAGCGCACTTTGCGGAACAAAGAATAAAAGCAAAAAACAGGCACA